TTGAAGAAGTAAGTGGAGGTCAGTGTGTCTAGACTGGGTGCTTGGAGAGATGGTGAAGGGCTCCATCCTGCAGGGGCTCATAGATCATGATAAAAAAGATAGGGATTTTATTGCAGGAAACATGGGAAAATTATTGAAGGGTTGCAGTTAAACAAGTTATGTGGTCTGTATCCGGACTATAAAAAATTAGTCCGTTTGCAGAGGGAGAGGAGCATTGAGGCCATGGAGTACAGCAAATGTGACAATCGCAGGGCTGAGAGCAGTACAGAGCCATGAGGGCATACCTGATTTTCCCAGTGATGCCTTTAGAGCTGTTTTTTCCCTGTCGAAGACCCACTCCAGTGCTGTGTCTTCATTTAGCTGTCATCTAAATGGTTTCTCAGCCTTTTATGATCTTGCCATTTTTGAAGAGAATCTATTTGTCGTTTTCCAGAATGTTCCTCACTTTGTGCCTTCTCTAAAATGAGAAGGCATTGGTTTGTTTGATGGCTTCTGATGATTAGATTCAGATTATACATTCAAAAGTGATTTATTTATTTGAGAGAGAGAGAACAAATACTTGAGTTCCCATCCACTGGTTCAGTCCCCAAATGCCTGCTCCCGTGAGCAGAAGCTCAATTCAGGAACTCCATTCACATGGGTGTGAGGGACCCAGCTACTTCTGTTTCCCAGGATGCGCAGTACCAGGAAGTGGAGCCAGGACAGATGGAATGGATGTCAGTATCCCAGCCTGCAGCTGTACTGATAGGCCCAACACCTGCCCCAGGTTATGCATTTTTGTGATTCTACAGAAGTGTCTCTGTGTCCTTCACTATGGAGCACTTTAGGAGGCCCATGTTGTCAATTTGTGTCCTGTTAGCTTTGATCGTGGTGTTAACCTTGATTCCTTGGTCGATGCAGTATCTACTGTATTCACCACGCTTCTAGCTTTTGCAGACTTAATGCTTTACCATCTGTCCTTCAGGGAGATGCCAGACACGCCTTGTTCTGGACAACCTGATAATGTGCCTGAATTACTTTGCCTTGACCTCCTGACTCTTGCCCGTTGTTTTGAAATACAAGTTAGTCCATTCCAAACCTGCTTACTCTGCCTTGTCTGTTCCTCCCCGTGGAAATCCCAGTAAGACGCTTGCCCACAGTTCCTCCTTCGCGTCTGCCTCCCAGTGACCCTGAGGCAGGATGTGTATGTGTTTTCTCAGGATCTGTGAGTATAATAGACAATACTTTCAATAAAAGTATTGTCTTGTGATCTGTTGGCTTTACCATACCTAAGTAATAATAAAGTCTATCAAGACATTTGCCAGGTTTCTCAGCCTTTAAAGTTACTTACTCTTCCCTTTTTAATAAATCAAGTAATCTGTTGAACGGAACTGCAACTTTTTTTTTAAACTGAGATGCAAATGAGAATATTTTACGAGGTGGCACAATATGTGTGACACACACACCAACACCCTAGTTCCCAATTGAAAATTATTTTGGTTTCCAGTCTGTTCTGTTTCACTTGAATATAAATCTTGCCTTGACCTACCAAGTTGATTCCATTGCCCTGTGATGAGTAATGTCTTCTGTTGAAAGGCACTAATCTGGGGGTGGCTCAGTGGGTTAATCCTCTGACTGCAGCGCTGGCATCCCATATGGGCGCTGGTTCTAGTCCCAGCTGCTCTTCTTCCAAACAGCTCTCTGCTATGGCCTGGGAAAGCAGTAGAAAATGGCCCAAGTCCTTGGGCCCCTGCACCCACATGGGAGACTGGGAAGAAACACCTGCTCCTGGCTTTGGATTGGTGCAGCTCTGGCCATAGCAGCCATTTGGAACCAACGGAAGGAAGACCTTTCTCTCTGTCTCTCCCTCTCACTGTCTGAAACTCTACCTCTCAAATAAAATAATAAAATATTTTAAAAAGTCATTAAAAAGGCACTAATCTGATAGAAATATTGCTTTGAATCAACTGGCTGCAGAACAGAAAATAGATGGGGTGGGGTCTCTTATAAGGTTGATAACTGATAACAAGGAACTCATTTTAAGGCTCTTGTCATAATTAGGTGGGAGAAACTGTTGGTTGTTGGCAAGAAGGTTGAGAAAAGTGAGTGGGTTTGAGAGAGAGAGGTGAATGGATGAAGGAATTCCAGCAAGATTGCATACGGGGTGGAGAAAAGGTGTACATGAAGTTTGGGCTTGGCTTCTGGGATGGATGGTGTCTCCCTTCCTGGGACACTCAAGTTGTCTCCATCATGTTGGGTTTGAGGTCTGAGGACATTGGACTGGAGCTGGCCAGCGGGCAGCTGACTGTGACACCGGGGAGGAACATCTGAGTTGGATCAATAGCAAACTGAAGCTGGATTGTACTCAGGATTTTACATGTGCATGCCCACCACAGGAAAGGTGAAGCTGGCACAGGATAGGAACAAATGCTCTGAAAATATTTCCAGTCATCTAGTGTTCAGATGAATAGGATAATAATACAGATAAGCAAGTCGATTAACATAAATTGACTTGAATGAATTTCACTTTTTAGCACTTACCCCTGTTTCTCTTGGTGATCTGCTGTAAAGTCATATACACACGTATGAATAAATACGTATATACTAGTATATGGAGAAAGAAATGTGAAAAACAAAGAAATTCCACTTTTGCATTGTGGTTTGCATTATGGTTGCATTATTGTTTCTTGAATTAGCCTAAGCTTTCCTAGATGTTGGTTGTAGTTTAAGCCTCCAAATGGAGCCACTAGCATTCTCAGGTGTGGATTCCAGAGGTTAACACGTATGTGGTGCAGGTTTTTTCAAGCCTCGCGAATTTGAGATTGAACGGAGACAACGGTTTTTTTTCTAGTGGAAAAGGATGTTAGTGCACATACCGCACTGAGGAAGGATGGCTGGAGCTGTCAGCGGTCCCCCATCCTGCAGCCTCCCCACGAGCCTCTCCGCCCTCCTTTCCTCCGGCCTTGGCGCTATTGTGGGATTAACGGCGGGGTGGGCCTCGTCCACAAACGCAGCTGGCTCGGACGGTCAGCCCGAGTCCCGCTGTGCAACCACGTCAGGAATTCCAGTAAGTTGGCAACACCGGAGCACAAAGACAACAACAATGAGGAAAACCCTTCAGCGCAGAAAGGAATGCCTGGAGTCCAGGCTGCTGCAGTGAAAGGACACACACGCGCGCGCCCGCGTGCTCGCGCGCACCCTCACGCCCGCGCGCCCACGTGGGGAGCCCGGCCCATCCCGTGAGCGCCGCCTCCCTCCCACCTGCTCGCCCCGGCGCGCGCGCCTCGCCGACCGCCACAGCGGCTCTTTGTAACGCGGACGTGCGGGGACGCTCATTGCCTATGCAGCACGGCCCTGGAGGGCGTCGGGCCGCCTGACCCTGGCGCGGGCTCGTACCAGCGCCCGGCCGCCCGAAACACGGCATAAATCACCCGCCGAGACGGGAGCGCGGCGTCATGCCCCTCGCCGCTTTCCTTCTCGCCCTCCGCCCCACCACGGCCCCGCTCCGGGTCGCCCTTGAGGTCCCCAGTCCAACCTCTTCCTCGGCGCCCCGCGGCAGCCGGAGGGTGGGGCTCCAGTGATTTTGGTCGAGGTGCAGAGCTCTGAATTTCTGCATCCAGAAATCTCTGAGAGAGGCAAGGACTCGCTCCTTTGCCTTATCCACAACCTACACTCTTTCAAAGTCTAAGTTTACTCTCTATCCATTACATTTGTCTTTCAAAAAGTAACACCTAGTTCCTCCCTTCCTTGGCCCGCCTCCCCGCAAAGCTGCTGTGGCCGCGCAAGCCCACCGGTGCTGCGCGAGCTGGACGATGGGGGTCAGCAGAAGCCCAGGCGGCCGGTGGTGCGGGCGGGGGCGGGCGGCGACAGGCAGGTTTTCGTTCCTGGGAGGGGAGACGGCGGGGCCTTGCTCGGGGACCACGTGGATGTCGGGCCGCGGCCTCCATGCGTCACAGTCCCCTGGGCTGAGGGAAAGGGGCCAGGACACGGCGTCCCGGTCCCGCGGTCGCGCTGCCGAGCTGGTCCGCGGGCCAGGGCAGAAGGTTAGGGGACGGCCTCAGGCCCCAGAACAGCCGCACTCACGCTCGTGTTTGCCGTGCGCTCCGGTGTCCGGTGCAGGCGCAGGGCAGTGCTCTGAGGCGCATGGAAGGTCCGCTCGCAGTGCCGATTGGGAGCCGGGCCCCCGCCTGCAGTCCCGCACGGCCCCAAAGAAGGGAGCAGCGTGAGTGTGTGTGTGTGTGTGTGTGTGCGTGCTGGGGAGAGGGAGGGCTCTGTGTCCCTATAAAAGGACATCAGCACCACGGAGAAGAAGGTCTTTCTTTGCAATTTTGCTCCAAAACGCGCACACTTGTAAGAAGCGCGATCTGGCTGTGACACCTGCAGATGGGGCGCTTGAGAAAAGCTAAACCAGGATCCAACCCCGACTCTAGACTGAGAAAACCACAGAGCGCCTCTATCTCAACGGCTTGAGCCTTCTCCGGGTGTCCCAGGGAGCCTGAAGAGGCCGGCCCGGGGAATGAGGGCCACCGGTCTCTCCAGCAGGCTCTTCCTTCACTCGTCCCTTCCCTGTCCCGTCTCCAGCTCCACTTCTTCTCTTCCTTGGTCTTTCTCTGCTTATTGGTCTCGCTTTTCTCTTGCTATTGTTTTTTTTCTCTTCTTCTCGACACTCCCCTCCCTCCCCATCTCCTCCCACTGCTCATTTAGAGTCCAGATTTCCCCGTGGGCCGTGGGTGGGCTTTTGTGCGCGGGCAGCGTGTCCATGAGAGCACGCCCCAGACTGCCTGTAAATGTTGGTGTTTGAGTGTGTCTGGGGGTGCGTGCCCGAGGAGAGTGTGTGCGTGAGTGAGCGGGTGACCCTGAGGTGTGCGCGGGTGCGCCTGGAGGGGACGCGTGAGCGCGCATGTGTTGGAGCGTCCACTCCTCCCCGCGCGGCAAAGTGCAGGGGGCGGGCCAGGCGGCAGGGGGCCTGCCCTGCTGGATTCCCGCATGCTAGTTCCGGGGCGGTCGGGTCTAAAGGGCTTTATGCACTGTCTGGAGGGTGGGGACTGGCGCGGGTAGAAAACGGGATGCCTCAGGCTCCGGGGCAGGCTTTTGGCCGCTAGGAGCAGGCTGAGGCGCGGACCCAAAGGAGCGAGCGCGAACCGAAGCGCTGCCGCTGCTCCGTGCGACGCGCGCCCACCTCTGGGGAAAGGAACGGCGAGGCCGGGGGCCGTCGCGGGGATGGAGCGCGGGACGGCGGCGGCTGCGTGCGCGCTGCTCCTGTGGCTCGCCGCCTGCCCGGCTCCGGTCGGTGGCCAAGGTAAGCACCGGCTGGCCCGAGCCACAGGCTAAGCACCCGACTTAACCGATCGTGGCACGGTGGGAGCCCGCGGAGCGGAGCGCAGCCCGGCAGGGGCCGGGGTAGGGCGGCGGCGCCGAAGCTGCTCCCGCTGGGGCGCTCAGGTTGCCCCGCGAGCGCCGAGCGGGAGAGCGGTTCAGTCGCCCAACTGGGGAACTGAGCAGCCGCAAACGTGAGAAAGCAGCTCCGCCGGTTTCGGTGACAGCGCGGACCCCACGGGGGACCCCGTCTTTGTTCCAACGGGGGTTGGCCCTAACCCTCCTGAGGAGCGTTCCGCACTCGGAACCGGGAGGCCGAGGCTCCCCTGGCTGGTCTGCAGCACGCTCGCAGCCGCGGCGGATTTCTCCGCGGGCTGAGCGGTCCTGGACGCAGCTCCGAGCGCAGTTTTCCACCTGCAGCAGCGCCTCGCGGGGTGATCCCTCGGCGCGGGCCAGAGCACCCCCTCCGGTCTCCTGCGAAACTCGGTCCCGCGGTGACCCCAAGAGACCGCATCTTACGATACGGATCACTTACGAGTCAAGATAAGGGCGGGAGGTGGGATTGGCGGAGAGAGCCCCGGCTGCCCTGGGCTGCATTCTGGAAGGGTTTTTCCTTTCCGAGCGGGAGCTGGGGGCTTTTGTGTCGCTGAATGGGACTGTCTGCGCGGCCAGAGTCTTGGGGGGCTCGAATGCGGGAAGTTTCTGGTGCGGCTTTGAAGTTCTCTCAAGTTGTGGGAGAGGGTTTGTGTTTTTACAGAAACAGAGGAGAGGGAAAGAGAGTGGAGAGAATTAAAAACAGCAAGAGGGGAAGAAGAGAGCGGGATAGACAAACGAGTGGGGAAGAACGAGGAGAGAGAGGGAGAGGGAGAGGGAGCGAGATTGTGAATGGGAAGGGCGAGGAGGCGGCCGCAGAACCCGCGAGCTCCGCGCCTGGCTTCGCGTTGCTAGGTAGCAGCCGGGAGCTGCGTGTGACCGACCGCCAGACAGACAGAGCGGACGCGGCTGCCTTCGCGGCCGCTAATCTGTCTGTGGGGATGGGAGTGCCCCCTTTCCCCTCCTGCCCCTGCCCGTCGGACAACTTAATTGCCCTACAATGAAAATGAAACCTCCATTGTTGTGGGATTAGCCGGAGCAATAAATTGATTTCCCTGGATCACATATTGGGGTTGACGGATGGGGACTGTGGAAACCCCCATTTAGGGAGCAGGGAGGGGAGGGCTTGTGGATGGGCTGTGGCGTGTATTCAAATGGTTAATCTGCTTTCTTTCCTCAATTCTTAGCGTAAGCGCCTTAGAGGGAATCAAGTAAGTAATTATACAGCAACTCCTAGCAGCACCCAGTGCAGACTTCCTGGGAAGAAGGTTGGAAATGCCTACAAACTCCCTTGGTCTTGCAAAAATCTTAAGGGAGGGAGGGGGCGGGGGGGGGGGCAGGAGGAGACTGTTAATAATACCGCCTTTGAACTCTTTGCTCAGTGTTGGGGTCACAGAAAGGGGGTTATTATGGCCCTGGAGGGTTTGCAAAGTGCATGGGGATCCATATCTGCATCTCCTACCCTAAATACGATTTACTCTGCGCCTTTCTACTTGCCAAAACAGAGCCTTGCTCTGATGCAGCTACAAATGTCCCCATATAACCAAGACATAGGCTTCTTCCCTGGGTTGGTGCTTCAGTCACTAAGTAGCCTGTACTACTCTTCCATCCCTTTCCATTCTATGATAGTACTTCATAATACTATGTGTAGCAATAATTAGTAACATAGCATAAACCTGTGCCTGTCACATGCCCTGCTCTAAGTACTTCACATTTATAGACTCATTTTCATTATAATATCTTTTGAATTGAGTTTTTTTTTTTTTTTTTAGCTTAAACATTTTTTTAAGGGAAAGAGGTAAGGGCCAGCATGTTGACCCATCACCTACAATGCCTGCATTCCATATGAGCAGCAGTTGGAGGCCTGGCTGCTCCACTTCCGATACAGCTCCCTGCTAATGCCCCTTGGAAAACAGCAGAAGATGGCTTGGGCCCCTGCCACCCACATTCGAGACCTACATGAAGCTCCTGGCTTCTGGCTTCAGCAGGGCCCAGCTCCCGCCATTGTGGCCTTTTGGGGAGCTAACCAGCAGATAGAAAAATCTTTCTGTGTCTCTCCTTCTCTGTAACTTTGCCTTTCAAATAAATAAACAAATAAATCTTTTAAAAAATTATTAGAAGGGTGAATGTAAAAAAAGAAAAGAGGGGAAAAGACAGAGAGAGAGAATAGAAGAGATCTTCCATCTGCTGATTCATTCTGAGCCAAATGTCTGCAACAGTCAGGGCTGAACCAGACTGACCTGAAGGAGTTCCATCCAGGTCTCCTATATGGTTGCCAGAGACCCAAATACTTAAGCCATGACCTGCTGGCTCTCAGCATGCACCATCAACAGGAAGCTGGATTGGAGGTGGGTTTAGGCACTTGGATATGGGATATAACCACTGTCCCAAATGCTTGCCACAAGACAGGCAAGACAGGAATGTTTAACCTGTATTTTTTTTTTTTTACAGGCAGAGTTAGACAGTGAGAGAGAGAGAGAGACAGAGAGAAAGGTCTTCCTTCTGTTGGTTCACCCCCCAAATGGCCGCCACGGCCGGCGCGCTGCGCCTATCCGAAGCCAGGAGCCAGGTGCTTCCTCCTGGTCTCCCATGCAGGTGCAGGGCCCAAGCACTTGGGCCATCCTCCACTGCCTTTCCGGGCCACAGCAGAGAGCTGGACTGGAAGAGGAGCAACCGGGACTAGAACCCGGTGCCCCAACCGAGACTAGAACCCGGGGTACTGGTGCTGCAGGCGAAGGATTAGCCTAGTGAGCCGCGGCGCTGGCCTAACCTGTATCTTAACTACTATGCTACTGCCTATCTCTAAAAACTTTAGTATTTTTTAAATTGACAAATAATAATTGTATGTATTTATGGGTACAATGTGATGTTTTGATACAAATGTTTAATGTGTGATACGGTCATGGCAATTAGCACATCCACTATCAAACATTTATCATTTCTTTATGTTAGTGACATTTAAATTCTTTCTTCTAGCTATACAAGAAATGGTCAACTGTAGTGACTGCTATAGAACATCAGAATTTATTCTTCTTATCTACTTATATATAATATGTAAATATGTAATTTATTTGAAAGGCACAGTTAGAGAGAGAGAGAGGGACAGAGAGAGATCTTCCATCTGCTGGTTTACTCCCCAAATACCTGTAATGGTTAGGGCTGGGTCAGGCCAAAGGTGGAAGTCTCCATCTGGGTCTCCCATGTGGGTGGCACAGACTCAAGCACTTGGGCCACCCTCCACTACACTCCCAGGTGTATTAGCAAGGAACTAGATCGGAAGTGGACCAGCCGGGACTTGAACCAGTCCTCATATGGAATGATGGCATCGCAGGCAGCAGCTTAACTCCCTGTCCCACAACATGTCTCTGACTTGTTTTGTACCCAATATCTGATGTTTTTCTAGCCTCTCCTCCCTCATATCCTTCCCAGCCTCTTGTAATCCCTAGTCTGTTCTCTACTTCTATGAAGTCAACTTTTTAAGCTCATATGAAAGAGAACATGTGGCATTTATCATTCTGTGCCTGTCTTATGTCATATAACTTCAAATGTTCTCCAGTTCCATCCAAAAATGTCAAGATTTTCATTCCTTTTAATGACCGAATAGTATTCCTTTGTATATATAAAGAAGTCTTCAAAAAGTTCATGGAAAATGCATGTTATGAAAATATGCATGGATTTCACATTTTTTTGCACCAAAGTAAACTTGTCTTTTTAAAATATAATTATTTTAAAAATAACTTAATTTAATTTAATTTGAAACACAAAGAGAGAGAGAGAGGAGAGGTACACAGAGAAAGATTTTCCATCTGCTGGTTTACTCCCTAAGTAGATGTAACAGCCAGGTCTGTACCAGGTGAAAGCCAAGAGCCAGGAACTTCATCTCGGTCTCCCACTGACTTCCCAAGTGCATTAACAGGAAACTGGATTAGAAGCAGAGCAGCTGTGACTCTCACAGGCACTCTGATATGGGATGAAAGTTAACCTGCTATGTCACAATGCTGGCCCCAATAAACTTATCTTTAAATTCCATTTTTTCACGAACTTTCTGAAGTCCCCTTATGTACACCACAATGTCTTTATCTATTTCATCCATCAGTGAACACCTCAGTTGATCCCATACCTTAGCTGTTGTGAATAGTGTTGCAATAAACATGAGAATGCAGATCTCTCTTTGGTATCTTGATTTCAGTTTTTATATGTACTTATTGGTAGGACCATCTGATAGGCCTGTTTTCCATTTTTTTGAGGAATCACCATACTGTTTTCCATAGTGGCTGCACTAATCCACAAGCCCATTAGCATAATGTATTAGAGTTCTCTTTTGTCTACATCCTTACCAGAATTTGTTATGTTTTCGTCTTTTTGTGAAGTAAGTACTCATATTATTCCTATTTACAGATGTAAAAATAAAGGCACAGAGCAATTGGCTAATTTGCCCAAGGTCATACTAATAGAAATGACAGAGCTATGAGGTAAATCCAAGATTTCAGAGTCCATAATTTAACGGCTTTTGTATGTAGCTCTCCCTGTTTATCTCTTTTCATTTGTGCTAAAAATATCATGCTCCTTGAGTTACCATCCATGTGTGAGATTACTAAATAAACTGTGGGGGCATTTTGCAAGTCTTTGCCATATAAGGTAAAAGCCACTTGCTACTTCAGGGCTGTGGACATTCCTCCCCCATCCTCCCAAAAAACCTCTTTTTCCTCAGGAACCTCTTTTTTTTTTTTTAATTTTATTTATTTATTTTTTTGACAGGCAGAGTGGACAGTGAGAGAGAGAGAGACAGAGAGAAAGGTCTTCCTTTACCGTTGGTTCACCCCCCAATGGCTGCTGTGGCCGGTGCATTGTGGCCAGCACACCACGCTGATCCGAAGCCAGGAGCCAGGT